GGCCCCTTTAAGAGCGGCGTCGCCATGATCTGCCTGGTGCTGGGTCTCTTCGCCAGCCTCTTCCAGAGCGGTGCGGGCCGGGCCGGGACCCTGCCCCGCTCTGCCCCCGCGGCTGAGGGGCCCGGTGGGTTTCCTTCCCTCACGGCTCCACTCTCTCCTCGCAGCCTGCGGTGGGGCCGGCGAACGCACCTTCGTGGCCATCAAGCCGGACGGGGTCCAGCGGCACCTGGTCGGGGAGATCATCCGGCGGTTCGAGAGGAAGGGGCTGCAGCTGGTGGGGCTGAAGCTGCTGCAGGTGAGCGGCCGGGGCCGCCGCTGCCAGGGCAGGAGGGGAGCGGCGGGGCGTGGTTATCCTCTGGTGCCGGGGGGCCCGGGCTGAGGCAAGGCCCGTGCGGCCCTGCAGGCCCTGGAGCTGTGGGAGCTTGCCGGGGGGTGTCTCTGCCCCCTCCTCACTGGTACAGCCTGTTGTCATTCGGGCGCTAAATCTTTGCGGGTCAGAGGGGTGTTGGCACCCAGGTGCCCAAATCACTTCTGGCAGGGTGATCCCAGTTGTGCTTGTGCTTCAGGGCTCTGGTGTGTGGCTGGTGTAAGCTGGCAAACGCTGCTCCTCTGACCTAGAAACTTCTCGCCCTGTGTCAGGCTTCGGCAAAGCCATTTCAACCCGGGAAGTGAGCATCTGTGCGGGGCTTCATTATAACATGCACTATCGAGCTTGTCCTACATCTCTCGATCACTGGCAGTGTGCCCGGGTGGCCAAGAAAGCCAACGGCATCCTGGCTTGTGTTAGAAATAGTGTGACCAGCAGGAGCAGGGAGGTGACAGTCCCCCTGTGCTCTGCACTGGTGAGGCCACACCTGGAGGGTTGTGTCCAGTTTTGGGCACCTCAATAGGAGAGAGATCTTGAGGGGCTGGAGCGAGGGCAGAGGAGGGCAGCGAGGCTGGGGAAGGGCCTGGAGAATCAATCCTGTGAGGAGAGATTGAAGGAGCTGGGAGTGTTCAGTGTGAGGAGGAGAAGGCTGAGGGGAGACCTCATCACTCTCTGCAGCTCCTGTAAGGACATTGCAGAGAGGCTGGTGCTGGTCTCTTCTCACAGGGGATTAGCAATATAACAAGAAGGAATGGCTTTAAACTCCAACAGGGGAGGTTCAGACTGGACATGAGGGAAAAAATGTTTCCCAGAAAGGGTGGTCTGAGAGTGGAATAGGCTGCCCAGGGAGGGGGTGAAGTCCCGATCCCTGGATGTGTTTAAGGGTTGTTTAGATGAGCTGTTGGGGGGATGTGGGTTAGGGGAGAACTTTGTAGAGTGGGGCTGATGGTTAGACTTTATGATCCCAAGGGTCTTTTCCAACCTGAATGATTCTGTGATTCTCTGGTGTAGACCTTGCTCAAATCCCTTCTTGCTCAGAGCAGATGAAGCTTTGTGCTCTTTGTACTCAGGCCTCGGAGGAGCTGCTGAGAGAGCACTACATTGCCCTTCGTGACCGTCCCTTCTACAGCCGGCTGGTGAAGTACATGAGCTCTGGGCCTGTGGTGGCCATGGTGAGTGCTGGCCAGGTTCTCCAGAACCGAGGAACAGAAAGTAAGTGCAGTGTTTAAGCAGCATTGGCGTGTGGTATGATGGAAACAAGGTGGCCTGCCTCTCCAGAGAATTTCTTGAAGCTGTACTGAACTGCAGGGATGTTTCCTGCAGTAAATTTAATCCATAAACAATTCTGATTATTTTCCAAAACTTTTGAAGACTATTTACAGAGAGACCCTTTCCTTGTCTCTCACCCAAGTAGATCAGATGGGGAATTTAGAGGACAGATGCTATGACCTGCTGGGGATGTTGTGGAAGTTGATTCTTGTTTTGTTGTCTGTCAGGTCTGGCAGGGCTTGGATGTGGTCAAGACAGTTCGCACAATGATCGGGGAGACTAACCCAGCCGAATCCAGGCCTGGTACCATCCGAGGAGATTTCTGCATTGAAGTCAGCAAGTGAGAGCTTTGGCTTTTTGTTCCCTCAGTATTTCAGGGGCATCCTGTCTAGGCACTTCTGTGCGAGGCCTGCCTGAGCCATGTGAGTCTGCATCTGCAGATTAGAACTTCTTTCTGTGCTCAGATCAAAGCTGTGTTCCCTCAGCTTGCAGAGCAGCCCTGGCAGGACAAGCTGCCCTCTGCCTCCTGGGCTTGGCTTTGCCAGAATGGAGGAGCCTGGCTTTGGGTCTTTCTTGCCTCCTGAGGCCTTCTCTGTTGAAAGCAGGTGGGTTTGCTTGTCTCGTCTGGAGAATCAGGACTGTCGGGCTGTGAAGAGGAAGGGAGAGCTCTCTCAGCCCTTTCCTGTGGGAGCAGGGCACCTGGAGAGCTGCTGTAGCTCTACTGGGCATCTGAGTCTGTAATGAAAGCCAAGGGGGAGCTCCAGCTTTTCACTGGTAGTGACCTCAGGGGGCTGCAGCCTGGCATATGGTAGACACAGCTTTTATCAAACCCGCCTGGCTGAGGCTTCTGTTCCATGGTGTCTGCCTTCCAAACCTGCTTCAGTGGACCTACTTTGGCGGAAGGGGGGAAATCTGGAGGCAGAAGTTGAATAAAAAAAAAAGCAAACCTCAGATCAACAGCCCCTTGCAGCTCCTCCTGTAGAAAACAAATGGTCCTTCATCATAGGAGGGAAGGAGTGCTTGGAACTGGTGGCACATTCATCATTTAAGCATAGCCATGAGCAGCCCCTGAGATGGCAGGAGGAGGGCTTTGCAGTGGGATATTGTAGGATGTGACTGGCTCAATTGGTTTAAAGAAATTGCTCAAGGTGAAATTTTACAAACTGCAGCTTCCCTCTTCTGCTTTTCCCTGCTTAGTGCCAGCTGATCCCTTTCTTCTTCCCCACAGGAATGTGATCCACGGCAGCGACTCAGTGGAGAGTGCCCAGCAGGAGATCTCCCTGTGGTTCCGCCCAGAGGAGCTGACATGCTGGGAGGACACAGCTGAGCACTGGATCTACGCATGACAAGAGCAGCCCGAGGGAAGTACATCTTCCTGAGTTGGCACAGGGCATTTCCATCCATTTCATTGCAGCCATGAGGGCTGGCTATGGATCCTGCTGTGGGGGTTTCTGTTCTGTGTGTGAGTGGAGGGGTCCTAGGAGCTGGTTTGTGTGTGTAACTGCAGGTTAGATCCCTGAAAGAGTAGCTATTTCTTTTTTTAAATTTTTTCCCTCTCTGCTATAATAAGTAAGTAGTTGGTATTGTTGCTCTGTTTGCTGCAGCATCTTAAATCCGAAATAGTTCAAGGTGATTTATTGAAGTGAAAACTGGGCTCTGTGCCTGTTCCTGTGTGTTCTGATGTGCCTGGCATAGAAGAACGTGTGCTCCTTACTGCTGAGAGGCGCACAAGGCGATGTGATCGATATAATTTACCTGCATTTCTAGAAGGTTTTTCACCAAAGACTTTTAAAGTATTAGGTTGCTATGGGATAAGAGGGAAGGTTCTTCCTTGGGGTAAGAGCTTGTTCCAGGACAAGTGGCTCTCCTGTGGTGGGAGCTCTGTGTGCCAGGGCTGGCACAAGCTCACCTGACTTCAGAAGTGATGAATGAGTCCACGTAAGGAAGTTCACCAAATGCGGTGAAATGCCCAGTTTCTCTGGCTCCAGTTCCTGGCTGTGGGTGTTTGCTTATTATAATCTCATTATAATACCAAAACACACCTCCATCCCAAAGGCTACCCACATCCAAAGTGCAACCACTGATTGAGCTTGTGCCCTGAATTTTTGTTGAACTATACCTCTAAAAGCAAAGTGAGAGAATGTTACAACAGTTGTAATAAAGGTATGTATGACTAGAGTCACTCAAGCTTCACCTTGAAGATAAGAAATTGCATAAAAATGGCCTGAGAAAGGGGGAATGTTGGGGGAAGGTATACTGCCTCTGACTCCTGGGAGCAGTGAACGGGCTGAACCTCTCTTCTTCCCCCCCCCCCC